ATCTATTGTTCTAAATCACATAGGCTGAATTCAGACTGGCAGTCTGAAGCAGGAGGGAGTCATGGCAAAAAAGACCTGGAACATACTGTTCCGGGTTTTCCCGGTCACACTGCACTGACTGATGTGGGAGCACACCGGGGAGGAGGCGCAAGGGAGCGTTCACACTGTTGGCCTGCCCTGGTGGAGCTGCGGCTGTAAGGCGCGGCTTTCATAGTAATCGAGATATGCGCATATGCACACAAGAAAAAACTGCAGCGTTTGGCGTTCACACTTTGTTGGTGCGGGATGGACACGGGATAATCATGCTTTCTAGGGTTTGATACCACTTTCACCTGGTATCTTTTAAACTCGGGAGGGAAGTGTTACAAGACGGGTTGAGTACAGCTGGGGAACGCCTGACAGATGTGCCTGTGTGAATGGCCCCTTTAATCCATTTGTGAAACGTTTCTGGCTCATGCCTATATCGGGGCAAACTGCCAGTCTGAACTCAGCCATAATGTCATTTCCTGCTCTATCCCAATTTTCATAGGGCAACATGTTCCATCCCTGCCCCTTGGCAAGCTTGAATTCCTTTTTTTCTCCCAAGGTTTAGAGGGAAGTCATGGGAACCTGCCTGCTGAGTGTTTCTAAAGTTTCTGGTGCAGTGGGGTGGGTGGGTGTGTCTGTGAGATAAAAGGTTACGCATCAGACCCTCAAATATATGAACACAAACAAAATATAAACATAGCTGCCTTCTACTGTCAGACCCTTGTCTGATAGATCAAGGCTCTCCAGGGTCTTAGGCGGAGGTCTTTCACCTCACCTACCTGATTCTTCTAATTGCCTTTGAATCCAGGACGTTTGGCATGCCAAGCAACTGATCTAACTCTGTGCCACACACCCCTCCCCTTGGACCTTTGTTCCATCTACCTTAGTATTGTTTATTATTTCAGCAAGAGTTTCCTGGGATCCCTGTAATCAGAAACTTGAACCCGGAGTCCTTCCACATGCAAAGTGGGAGCTCTATAATAGAAGAAGAAGAGATTGGATTTATACCCTGCCCTTCACTACCCAAAGGTGTCTCAGAGCAGCTTACAAACTCCTTTCCCTTCTCCTCCCCACAACAGACACCCTGTGAGGTAGGTTGGGCTGAGAGAGCTCTTGACAGGAACTGCTCTTTTTCAAGGACAGCTCTTATCAGAACTATGGCTTGCCCAAGGTCATCCAGCCAGGTGCAAGTGGAGGAGTGGGGAATCAAACCCGGTTCTCCCGGATTAGAGTCCGCACACTTAATCACTACACCATGAGCTGATGATCATATGATTACTATTGTTGCCATTTTCAATAGGGAATTTGACAAGTTAATTATGTGTTGCGTGACAAAGGTTTTTTTTAGGGCCGAAAGACACACCTGGAGTTCAGTCATGGAATTTCAGGGCTCTATGTAGTTAAGGCCTGAGCCCCCATGGCGTGTCGCCCAGTCCCTCAAGTCTGCCTGGACAGAGGCAGTCAAAGGAGAAGCTTCAGTACAGTTCTTCAGCTCTTCTAATTTCACCAACAGCAGGCAGTTTCTTTGCCATTTCTTCTTCCTCTGAAGAAATTCACACAGCGGATGGTGAGATGCACGTGGGAAGATGTCAGCTCCTCCAACAGAGCACTTGCTGAGAGACAAATAGCTTTCACGGACACCATCCATCACCAAAAGCCATCTGATGAATTTCTGTTTATGTAATCAGCCACCATTTCAAAGCGGGAAATCACTGCACAGAGCAGCCTGTTTGATAGCAGCCACAGCGTATCTTCAGCCTCTTAACAACACTGAAGCAGAAGAAGCCCCACTGTGATCATATAGAAACTGCCTCGTTTAATGAAAACTGTTTGCGAAAAGTATTATTGGATTCAAAAACTGCATGTTTGACAATGTCAAAGTGCTGTGTAATACATTATCTCAATTCTCAAATTATCTTCAGTCAATTTGCCGAGTGTTCTTTTGTACATCTTGCATAAAAAAATACATTAGGATTAAAAAAAAAATACTCTATTGATAAAATTTCAAACCTAAAGTTTGAAATTGTAAAAAGGACTGATCTGTTCTTATTTGATATTAAAGACAACTGAAACCAGGCTATTCACCACAAACACTATTTTAAATCATAAAATGTGTGTGCAATTGCACACCAGTACAGTTCACCAGGGAGAAACCTAATACATTAAGTTCGGGGATGGGGTAGTGGCCCACTAATAGTGCCATAAGAGTTACCCTTCTAAGTGCACTGAAATGAACGGGCTCAGAAGAATGTAACTCTGCTAGGAAAATATTTTAAATCACTCTATTATTATTTCATGCCAATTTCTAAAGAAGAAGAAGAAGAGATTGGATTTATACCCCGCCCTTCACTTGGAGTCTCAGAGTGGGTTACAAACTCCTTTCCCTTCCCCTCCCCACGACAGACACCCTGTGAGGTGGGTGGGGCTGAGAGAACTCTGACACAAACTGCTCTTTTTCAAGGACAGAGCTTGTGACTGACCAAAGGTCACATCATCAGGTGCAAGTGGAGGAGTGGGGATTCAAACCCGGTTCTCCCAGATTAGAGTCCGCACACTTAACCACAGGGTCAAGGGCCACTGCTTCTTCTTCAGAGGAGAATAAGGAAGCACATTAATTAAGACCCTCTCCCCTCAGCCACCTCATAGCACATGCTCCATATGAAGACCTTACTGTTAGGTGAAACCATATTATAGATTCTGACCCACTCTGTGCCAAGACACTTTATTTAGATATTTATACCATACTTTTCTCCTCAATGGGGATCCAAAGTGGATTATAACATCATTCTCTCCTCTTCCACTTTATCCTCACAACAGCAATCCCATGAGGTAGGTTAGGCTCCAAGGTCATAGAACAAGCTTCCTCGGGAGAGTGAAGATTTGAACCAGGTGCCAGTCTTATCCGCTAACCAGGTTCTAGTCTCATCCTCTAACCAGTACATGATGCTGGCTGTGAATTTCTTTGTCCTTGCGTTATTTAGGAAGAGATGAGACACTTTTCTTTTCTCTGTGGATTCTTTCATGACAAGTAAGATTTGACCTTTGAGCGAAGCTTTTACCACAGACAGAACATGAATAGGGTTTCTCTCCTGTGTGAACTCTCTCATGAACAGCAAGATGCGCTTTACAACTGAAACTCTTACCACAGACTGAGCATGCTAACGGTACAGCTCCTGTGTGACCCCTCTTGTGTGTAATAAGGTGTGTCCTGCAGTTGAAGCTTTCATCACATAAAGAGCATGCATATGGTTTCTCCTGTGTGTGGGTTTTTTCATGCCTGATGAAGTAAGTTTGGCGATTGAAGCGTCTGCCACAGAATGAACACATATATGGTTTTCCTTCTTTATGAGCTCTAGCATGCTGGCTATACTGACATCTTTGGTTGAAGCTTTTCCCACAGATGGAACACGCATAGGGTTTGACTCCCGTGTGAATTTTCTCATGCACAATAAGGTTTGATCTTTGATTAAAGCTGCTACCACAGATGGAGCATTTGTATGTTGTTTCTCGTGAATGGGCTCTTTTGTGCTTAACTAGTTGCTTCTTACAACTGAAGCTTTTACTGCAGACTGAGCATTTATATTGTTTCTTTGGTGAGTGAATGTTTTCGTGTCTCATAACAGATGATTTCTGACCGAAGTTTTTACCACAGACTGAACATGTATATGGTTTTTCTCCTGTATGGATCAGCTCATGAGTACTAAGGATTGATCTGTTACCAAAGGTTTTGCCACAGACGGAGCAGGTATATGGATTTTCATCTCCCTGTATATTTTCACATCTAAGGCTGCTGTGAAATATGGAGGGCCCACATGGACTTTCTTTCATATGAATCCTCCTGTGTGTAACCACACTTGATTTATGCCTAAAACATTTCCCACAGACTGAGCATTTGTATGGTTTCTCACCAGTGTGAATTCGCTCATGGACACGAAGCTGTGAGCTTTTACCAAAACTTTTCCCACATGCTGAGCATGAGTATGGTTTTTCACCTCTGTGACTTCTTTCATGACCAGCAAGGTGTGAACTCTGACTGAAGCTTTTCCCACAGACTGAGCATGTAAACGGTTTCTCTCCTGTATGGTTTCTCCTGTGGACAATAAGGTAAGTTTTCCAACTGAAACTCTTTCCACAATCTGAGCATTTATATGGCTTCTCTCCAGTATGAATTCTCGTGTGTGCCTCAAGATGGTATCTTCTATTGAAGTTTTTACCACAGACTAAGCATCTATGCTGTTTTACTCCTGTGTGACTTTTTTCATGCTCAACAAGATTCGACCTTCGACCGAAACTTCTCCCACACACTAAGCATTTATATGGTTTCTCCTCTGTATGGAATTTTTCATGAGCAATAAGGAGAAATTTCCGACAGAAAGTTTTCTCACAGTGTGAACACTGATGAAGTGTATCTTCCATACATTTTCTTTTACGTGCACCACGGTTGGAGGCCCATGTGTGTTTTTTCCCAAGTGCGAAGACTGTCTTTTGTATTTTAGCTTCCTCGACTTCTTTGCCTGCTCCTCTGTATGATAAAAGTGTTCCGATTCCATTCCTGAGGGAATTTTCTTTTTGTCTTTTCTCCCCACATTGATCTGCTGTCTTGGGATGCTGAAAGATACTGTCAGTTCCAATAAACATCTCATTTGATTCTGCTTGCGTAGCGTCCTTTGGCAGAAGACTGTCTTCATCTTTTACAAACCCAGTGCCTATTGGAAGAAACAAAAACCTATGACCTACGGAATGTTCCACATAAAAACTGCTGGGATATTTTAATATCAGGATTCAAACTATCCAGGAACATAAGAATTAGTTGTACACAGACATGAAACCTTACAAGAAAGTTAACCTTCTACAGTCTTGCAAAAAATTACCACACTACCTCCTCTGTTCTCCCAGACTCTGTTCCCCTTACCTCCCCTTTGGGACCATGAAACATCAGGTGCCATTTGGGATTGTTACATTTTATACTGCATTCGTACTGCAGCTCTTCTTCTCTGCTCTTCTCCCCCTCCCCAGAAAGACAAGAGCAACCACTACCAGAGAGAATATTTCTGTCAGGCAAAATGTAGAAAAAGTCACAGAGGACTGCAAAAGGCTACATCAGGGGTCCCCCACTCCCCAGCGAAGTGCCCTTGGCCACCATCATGCCCACCAACACCTTTTCTAATGCCCCATGCTGATTTTTAAAAATGCTTTGGCAGCAACTGCTACCACAGCACAAGGATCTGCACTCTGTTATTGAGGTTAAGCTGTGGCAATCATTTCGTGTCTGGCTCTGCCTCAAAAAGGTTGGGTGTCCCTGGGCTATATATAAAATTATCTGTTCCCTCATACCCTTGCAGGCAGCTGAAAAAGTCTCATTGTCGTCAAACCATGGCTGATCTGGTAGACATGACTCGTCTTCTGGTTCAAGTTTTATTATCACATCAGAAAACACTGAAAAAGAAGAGGAAGAAGTTAGAGATGTAAAATTTCCGGAAATTTTGAAGCTCGGAAAAAAAACCCGTTTTTTTTTCCGGGAAAAAATGGAAATTTTCGAAAAAATTGAAAAAAATGCTACATTAGCATTTCTTTTTTCTTTTCCAGATTGAAAGTCATTCTGTTACTTTAGGAACATAAAATATGACTATGGACATTTTTACTTGGCATGAAATTATCACAACTAGCATATTAAAAATATAGTGTATCCAAACAATTATTACAAACAGAATACCCACCCACATGCAAAAACAAAACTGAAACCTTTTTATTTTCTTCTGACAATAGCACCTCCTAAAGGAAGAAATGCATCTTGTTCTTGCATTGGAGAGTTCAGTTTGTAACCTAGGACTTGCTTGTCCTCAGTGCACAGAAATTAGATCAATCTGATACCATATATATATATATTTTAGAAATGATTTGGAAAATATTTGGGAAAATATTTGAACACCTTGTCTTAAAATATTTTATTCATCATGTTAAAATAAAACGTTCCATAATCAATTTTTTTCTTTTCTTTTCTTCAATTTTTCCAATTTTTCGGAAAAAAACAAAAAGGCTTCAGGAAAAAAAGGGGAAAAAACCGTTTCCCCCCCGAATTTTTCCGTTTTTTTTCTGGGCCTTCACATCTCTAGGAAGAAGTGAGGACTGGTAATCCAGACACCAGTGTGGTATAGTGGTTAAGAGTGCAGGACTAGTATCTGGGAGACCCAGGCTCGAATCCCCACTTGTGCCATGGGACCTTGCTGGGTGACCTTGGGCCAGTCACACTCTCTCAGCCCAATCTACCTCACAGGGCTGTTGTGATGATAAAACGGAGGAGAGGAAAATGATGTAAGTTGCCTCGGGTCCCCACTGGGGAGAAAGATGGGGTATAAATGAATTAAATAAATAAAAAAATAAAAATAAAATCGGTGTTTGCCTGAACTGTGTTCTCCCATCTAGGTCTTAAAGCCAACAGGCTGTTCGACCAAAAAAAGACAGCAATATAACAAAAAAGTTATTGCTGTTCAATATTCATTAAAAACAAACGACACTTCATTGCAGCAGCTATATAGTCACACACATCTAATGTTATATTAAAATCCAAGTCCGCTAACAGAGTCATTAAATGACTGTTAGAAGAGCGAACAGGCTTCTTATTCAGATGAGGATCCAGAAATTTTCTTCTCAGATCCGAATAAAGTACACAGAAAAAGAAGAAATGCGCTCCAGTTTCTACCGAAGCCTTATCACAGATACAAACTCTAGATCCCCTTTCTTGGCCTGTAAATTGTCCATGTAAGTCCTAGCCACAATTATTCTTTTTCCTGTCGTCACAGCTGATTTACGGTGACCCCTTGGGGTTCTCAAGGCAAGAGACATTCAGAGGTGGTTTGTCATTACTTGCGCCTGTATAGTGACTTTGCCTACGTGTGGTATTCTTTGGTTTGTTTCCCTTCCAACTACTAACCAGGGCCGACACTGCTTAGATTCCAAGATTGGGCTAGCCTGGGTTACCCGGGTCAGGGCACTATACTGAACCAGCAACCGCTATACCACACTGGTATTTTAAGAATAAAAGAAGAGCCCTGCTGGGTCAGACCGGTGGTCCATCTTCTCCAGTGTCCCGTTTTACACAGTGACTAAGCAGTTACTATGGAGGGCTAACAACAGGGCACAGAGGCCGAGGCCTTCCCCTGATGTTTCATGAGTGTTAGATTTATAGTTTATTATATTGTTGGAGCCTGAGTGGTAGAAAAGGGAAGTTTGAAATAAACCTAAACACGTTGGATAGAAAAACAAATATTTCTTCTGCCTCTTATTTAGAATAAAGTTTGATCATGGAAAAATGGCACACAGTTAATGAGATCCGCCGAGGCTGCTCAAGCCTTGCCACTCACCTGAACAGGCAAATAGTCCGTCAGGACTCGGGGAAATGGGGGCCCACAGCTCCTCTTTCAGTCCCAACTTCATTGTCACGTCAGGAAACCCTAGTTAAAAGAGGGAGGCAAGGTGAATAAGTAAGGATTCACATTCTGACTGGAAGTAGCAGTGGTAGTTTTCTCCTTGCTTTTGTGAAAACTCTAGGCCCAATATCAAAGGCTTCTGAGAATGGAGAATAAGCCAGCCTGTGTATTCTTTCAGCTGAGCTGTGACAGAGCAGAGAAGAGAATTCTTGCCTTCCAAAATGTCTGGATCAGGAATCCATGGCTCATCCCCTTGTTCCAACTGAGAGATCAAGCGGGATCTGACGACAGGAAATCCTGTACAGGAACAGAAGAAATAAATGGCATCATAGAAGAAGAAGAAGAAGAAGAGATTGGATTTCTACCCTGCCCTTCACTACCCAAAAGTGTCTCAGAGCGGCTTACAAACTCCTTTCCCTTCCCCTCCCCACAACAGACACCCTGTTGTGAGGTAGGTAGGGCTGAGAGAGCTCTGACAGAAACTGCTCTTTTTTCAAGGACAGCTCTTATCAGAACTATGGCTTGCCCAAGGTCATCCAACCAGGTGCAAGTGGAGGAGTGGGGAATCAAACACGGTTCTCCCAGATTAGAGTCCGTGCACTTAACCACTACACCAAACTGGCATTTGTTGGTAGAAAATGCCATCAAGTCACAGCTGACATACGTTGACCCCATAGGGTTTTCATTCTCTGACTCCGCAGAGCAGCCCTGGACTTCCTTGGTGGTCTCCCATCCAAGTACTAACCAGGGCAGACCCTGATTAGCTTCCGAGATCAGGCTAGCCTGGGCCATATCCTTGTCAGAGCAATATTGTACGTTAAGACACTGAATCGTGATCATCCTGTTTTTAGACAAGGGTTCTTCTTCCTAATTTTAAATTCACACTCTTGAACTATACAGTGTACAGTAGCTAAATCGAACAGAGTCCGTAGCTGGAAAGCAGGGAGAGGGTTTTTTTGTTTTTTTTAATTGAGGTTCTGCAGGAGAAAAATACACAAGCCATGGAACTGCGCAGAGCTTTGCTTCTAGGCAACAGGGAAGCCTAAGATTGCACAAATGCATGGAAGCAAGGATTTGCTGAGGAAAGATGTGCAAACACCAAATCTTCAGCACACATAAGGGATACTCTTTATTTCTAAGTATCACAGCTTTGAAATCTCAACGCCACACCTTCCAAAATTGTCTTTCTAGTACTACTCTACAGACACACGCGCAAGAGAGACTCTCGGTACCATTACGTCCAGCGAGAAGAGGATCCTTACCTAAGGAGGCCACGTTATCATGATTCTCCCGCATGACCTCGCAGTATAAGGCTCTCTGCCCTGGATCTAACAGAGCCCACTCGCTCTCTGTGAAATATACGGCCACATCTTCAAAAGTCACTTGGCCCTGGAAGAAAGAAAAAAGCAAACGCCTCCGCAGTGCCTGCTGCCCTGAGAACAATGCTATTGTTCCATTAACCCAAAGATCTATACAGCCCATAGATTTTGTAAGGCACCATAGGTTTGTAAAACGACGTATGCATGCACATGAAAGCTTATACCTTGAATAAAACTTTGTTCGTCTTGCTGGACTCAAGTTTTGTGCTACTGCTTCAGACCAACATGGCTACCCACTGGAATCTAGATTTGGATTCAGTCACAGTTAAGAAAAAAACCCAAATTCAGGTTCAAGGGAGGCAGTGTGTAACTCCCTCATAAATCCCGAATTCAACTATTTTGTGGTTTACTGTTTATTAAGAGTTTATTAAGAAGTTTCACAATACACCCTGCCCCCCTGAACCAGGATTTAGGGTTTTCTA